GTAGTAGTCAAGATGACACCACACTAGATATAAGCAGTTCTCAATAAGGAATGAACAATAATCCAGCTCCTGATGTTTGAACTTAACTCTGAGAGTCAAATGTTGGGCAGCTAAGGAACGGTTTACAGCTACACTTCCAGTGTTCATGGAACCCTCAGGAAGAAACTGTGACAAAACATTCACATACCATAGTTACAGTCAATATCTACATAGTACAATTTAGATCTCCAAAATATTAGATCTCAGATATTCCAGAAAATGTATCATAGTTGAAAAGAGTATGAAAGCCTTAAAGAACAGAAACATACACAGTTTTATAAGGAGGAAAATGATTAACATAAATGCCAACAGTATTCTAAGACTTTACACTAACATCACCAACATACCTCTTTGAGCTCGGTACTATTCATGTTTGGGACAGATGTCAGTTTACGAGAGAGCAGGTCAAGGACAGCCTTTTCACGATGATGATGATCCACACATTGAACAAGCTTTTGCACCACCACACCCAAGTTCAGCACACTGCTCTCTGCCATGTGGCCTTCTGAAAAAAGAAACAGTAAAATCTCTTACCTATTATACCTTCCCATGAAATCTTCATTTCAGTGAGCAATACTCCTCTTTTCTTCAAGGTGCAGTGAACAGTCTCTCTCAATCTGGCACAATCTTTTTTATCTAACTGATGTCTAAAGGTCTTTGTTCAGTTTCCTGAATTCTGATAAAAATAAGACCAAAATGCTTGCCTCTTGTTCTTCGGTCTGCAGTCATACCCGGTTCCACAAGTGAAGCCTTGAAGATAACAGTGGAGGCACGATGATCAACTCCATGACTGGCAACAATGTTACGTGCATAGAGAACAAGATGGCAGGCCACCTGGAAAAATCTTAGCACAGCTTCCATCTTGTCTTCCCCAGTTGTAGGTTCTGTCTGCTGAGCATCAGGTCTACTGACTGGTGAAGTCCTAGTAGCTGATATATTTTCTGAGCCTGTCAGTTCCCGCAACAGTGACTCAGAGACTATAAAGCGAGGCAGGAGTCCCAACATCAGCTTCTGGATGCGATGAAGCTGAGATGATGTTTCCATTCTGGGTTCATTTGCTGTGACATGACACATGTCTGGAACATGTTACAAATTTAAATGCCTCTACTACACTATGCACCAGTTTAAGTTAGCCTCACCTCTGTGAGTACACACAGTTCCAAAATGTCTTCCATAGGC